CTGCCGGCACCCCTACCCATGCATACCGGGGTAACAGGGAGATTAGGTTTGAGAAAATCTGCGCAGGTTCATAAGCAGAAGTCCTGTTACATGGGTAAAGCAGTACACGAGTTTTCTCTCCCGAAAGCATGTGAATTTTAGCATTGCAGCACGCTGTTGGGGCAGAAGTGCTTTTCCAGACTGGTAGTTGTTTGCACAGTACAGTTCAGACATAATCCAAGTGTAGCTCAGTATTTTAATCCACCCTGGGATGTGTTTTTCTGCACAACCAACAGACTCAAGGTCAGGTCTTTGCTAGTTGTCTTGGAGCTAAACTATACATTTTTCATTTTTCCTTCCTTAACTACCTGGAGATTGTATCTGATGTTGGCAGCTCTGGAAGGCTTCAAATCCTCTTCATCAAACATGAGTGCTATGTTTAAAGATGGCGTTATTTAAATTAAAGATTTTTTTTAATCTTCTATCCCTAATGCAAGTCACTGCTGTGTTACCCTGGGGGTAAATGATGCTCTGCAGCTCAGGGAAAGGTTTGGGACCATGACTGTGGTTCTGGTCCTGGTCCTGGTCCACCCTGGGCAGCTCTGCCTGTGCACCCAGCAGCCATGCACCCGCCGCCGATGCCGTCGTCGTTTGCCTTTAAGGTTTCTCACCCATTACAGAGGCATGTAATTTAAACAGAAGCACTTTAGAAGTCAACTAATTAGCACCAGGCAGGCATCCCCCTGGAGTTCGGTGGAGCCGTGGCCTCCTTTCTGTTACGAGATCGTTCCAGCTGGAAATTACAGCGACTGCAGTTTTTAGGGAAAGCGAGAGGCTTCATCGCTGCGAGCCGGGGCAGAGCCGGAGCAGGGAGGGCAGAGCAGGCGCTAAAGCCAAATTGATAAAAAAAGGAGGCACTCGGTAGATGGTAAACCTCTGCCCGGGACTGAGAGCGTTGTGGGGAGGCGAGGGCGAAGGGAGGCAGGGACTCAGCCCAGGTGAAGTTTGCTGGCGAGCTGGCCCATCTGGCCGCGGTCCCTGCGCACCGCGGGGGTGCCAAGTGGCAGGGGGGCACCGGCTGGCGCACGGTTTGGTTGTTGGATCCGGCCGCGTCGTGGGCGTGAGCCGAGGCTGAGACTCAGCTGCATGAGGATCTGAAGCATCTCCCTTTTGTTCCCACCGCATCCTGACAAATGGGAAAGGACCGGAGTTTCTCTCGGCATTTTCGGTACGTCTCTCTGCTCCGCTCCTCCGCGTGGCATGCATGGCGTTGGATGTCCTGGGAATGCCTCACGCCCTGGCAGACGTCCCCGCGACGTCTCTCCTGCCTCTGAGCTGCGGGGACCCTGCCTCCCGGTGCTGGTGTGGCCCTGCTGCCAACCTGCGCCCACCGCAGCAGCGGCACAAGGGTTGGGGGGAGCCGAGCAAAGCTCAGATGAAAAATTGGAGGTGGGGGGCTGGGGAGAGGCGGGAAGAGCACATCTGGGTCTGCTTTGTCCACCAAAGCACATCTGGCTTGCTTTGTCTCCGTGACTATAGTCCAGCAAAGGCATGGGCAATGAGGACAGGAGCTTGGGGGTGCTGCAGGGGCTGTGATGGAGCAAGGGCTGGGGACCCCTCACTCCTGGCCCCGGCTGAGCTCAGGCTCTGAGAAACTTGGGGCTGCTTTCACCTGCTCCCAATGGGGCTGGAGCCACTGCTGCTGCCCGACTCGAGGGGAGGCATCCTGCACCGGCGAGTCTCAGCACCTAGCACAGGGTGGAACCATTCGGGCGAGCTTAGTGCCCATCGCAGGACATGCGCCCTTGTGAAAGGTGGTTCTCCACGGTGCTGGGCTGGTGGGGGAGGCAGCTCTCAGTGAGTGCAGGCTGCAGAAATGGGACTGTCCGCTCAGAGGTGAGCTGTAAGTGACCCGCCTGGGAGTTTTACAAACAGTGAGTGTGACAAAGACTGAGATGTGCTAAACAGCCTCTGCCGAAGTGAGCCCCAGAGCAGGGACTCCTGGCTGGGCTGCTTCGGAGAGGGAGTGAAGGTGAAGCAGCTTGCAGCCTCTGGGGCCTCTCCTGGCCTGGAAAATGCCCTGAATTAGCATTCATGTGTTAGAGCAGGCTGAATCCTCCTGAAGAGCATGTGCTGACACCACTGCAGAGGAGGGTTAGTGCACTGGGGCCAGGGAGCAGGCACAGGGCTGCAGCGCCCAGGGCTGGGAACACCTTTCCCATCCCCTCTCCAACAGGGAACAGAGCCAGGGCTGACCTGGAGCATGCAAAGAGGAGGAAGAGGAAGCTGAAGGCATGAGGTCTGAAGGCAGCCGAGTGCTGCACGGCCCCCAGGCCCTCCCACAGGCATGTGCAGCCTGTGGGGCTGCTGGGACAGTGGGTCTGCCCCTGGTCCCAGGCTGACCTCTGCAAACAGGGTGGGCGCATCGTGCTCCCTGCAGACAGGCAAAGCTGGGCTTGTCCCACGGGATGGCAGGGCGCTGCAGAAATAGCCGTGGTTTCCCGCTAAGCACTGGGCACCATCCGCCCTGTGCTGGTGCCGGTGCCAGTGCTGGTGCGTGCTGCACAGGCAGCACTGCACCAGAGCAGAGGACAGGCTGAGGTATCGATGCTGTCTAATGACACCCCAAGTGCTGCCTTTGGTGGGTCCCTCATTAAGGATCAGACCTGAGCACACACAGTTTGGAAGCCAGCACCCACTGAACCACAGGGCATCGGGGAGCTCAGGGGATCCAGCCCCCAGCAGCACAGGGCCATCCCAGGCTCCCCAAGTCCACACTGCAAATTCTCTCAAAGGGTTTTGCAGAAGGAAACTATTGTGCATGCTTTAATAGGATTATTTTTACCAGTCACTTAGCTCTTCTCCTTGCTAAGACACCGTTTTACTTCTACGACTGAGTCAATTCATGGTGAAACCCTTAAAGCATGTCCTTGTGCCTGGTTATTGAGCTAGCCGTACTTTGCTCCTCAACCCTGAAGTTTGTCAGCCCGCAGGCGAAGTAGCAGCAGTGCAAAGTGGGACAGCCCTGCTGGAATGAGCAGGGCCAATTTAATTTGGCCAACTTAAATGGGAGCGTGCTCGTTTTGCCTGCATGGAACCCGGACTTTTCCCAGGGCAGAGGCGTGGGGTCCTGCTGGGACTTGCTGCCGTCGTGCCGTGTCCTCCCTTGCTACGGGGCTGCGGCAGCCTGCATTCCCACAGGAGCCTGCTTACAGCTGGGTGAACTATTTATTAGCATGATTTCATTCTTTTCTAGCTGCTGCTTAATCACAAATTGACTGTGAATTGTACCAATGTGTTACTTATTTTAAATTATCACCAAATGCTTTCCATGAGCATATGTCAGCCTCGGGATGGCTTGCGATCTGTCTGCTCCTACTCAGCGTGAGCATCAGCTCTTATTTTGAGTTCTGCCTTTTGTTGGGGGGAAATGCAGATATCCTGGTCCTGGTAGATTTGGGATTTGAAGCCTCCTCCTCCTTCTCCTCTGGCTTCACCCAGGCTTTCAGGTTCCTTTGGCAAAGTTGCCTGAGGGACAGGGGAGACCCGTGGGAGCCCCCCGCCAGCCCCAGCCTTTCCAGCTGCGCTTCGTTAGCAGTCGGCCATCATCACAGCCATGTCGTGCTGGCAGCAGGAAGGTGCAGCCCCTCGGAACAAGTTTCTCTGGATCCTCTGATGCCAGCTGTGAGTTTGGCCCAGTTAGTGCCCCCCCGGGAGATGTGGTCCCCGGGTGGCTTGGAAGTGATGCTCACATCCCTCTTCCGCCGCAAGTGTCGGAGTTTGTGTTAATGTAGGGAGCACGTTCTCATCCGCCACGAGGTGAAGAGCACTAATGAACCTCACAAGATGGTATTGTCTAACGAGCAAATGCAGCTGCGACAGGCAGCCCTGCACAGGTCCAGGGAAGAGTTGCTATAGAAACACACAGAGATAACAGCTCCTCCAGAAGCCCCCAAATGTGCAAATGGGAGGGCAGGAATAGGTGAGCAGGGTGTCAGCGTCTCACTGTTGTGATGGCAGAAGGAAAAGAAAAAGCATTTCGCTGTGTTACAGGGGTGAAGCCCTGGCTGAGGTGGGAGCGGTGCAGAGGCACTCTCCCCGCTCCCTCCTGGGATCCCGCTTTGTGCTTGCTGTGCATCCCCCGAGGGTCCTGGGGGTCCTTGTGGGGGGCACAAAGGTGACTTGGCTGCTGGCAGAGCAGCTCCTACCGGGCAGAGGGGAGGTGGCCTGAAATGGAGCAAGTTCCCAGCGGTGTCCCCTTGCCTCCAGCATCACTGTGCCCATCCCCACCCCTGCAACACCAGTGTCTCCCAAGGGGTGCAAGGCTCCTACCTGGCTGTGGTGGGAGCTGGGGGGTGGCAGAAGCCAAGGCTGGAGCCCAGGAGAGTGGAGTCCAGGGCTCCCGGCAGAGGGGCTGGGGCAGGAGATGGGGACCAATATTTTGGGGGTCCCAGAATGTGCTAGGGAAGAAGCAGGTCTGGAGGAGGCGGTTTGGCATGGGCAACATGGGGGGCACTTGCACATTGGGATGCCTGGCCGTGGGTACCACACAGTAAGGAGCGGGGTTGTAACAGGATGGGCACGGTGGGGACAAGGGTTCTTCCCTGCCCGTCTGGCTCCCTGGCTGTTGGCATGGGGGGAAGCAATTAATCTGCGACTCGAGTTGAACCTCGTCATTGGCGTACCAGGACCGGCAGCTGAAGGGGTCCAGGATGGGATGCGTGAGGAGGAACTGAGCTGTTTGAATCTGTCTCTGCAAGCACTGCACTGTGGAGGGGCCTGACCTCCTCGCCCCAATGCAGCCATGCACAGGACAGGGCAGAGGATGCAGCCAGTGTCCCTGGCATCCCCAGCATCCCTCAACCTGGCATTTGCAACTCCGGGGAGGACTGAGGCCAAGAGCGCAGGAGGGGCTGGGGCTGCTCTGACCTTTCCTTTCCAGGTATGGTTGGATCCGGAGCTCTGGGCTATGGCCACTCCAGCCCTGCTCCTCACTCCCCTCCCTTGTCTCATTTTTCCAGGATTTTCATCCCCAAGAAGCACCGGCAGCGGTTTGACGAGGTGGTGTCGCAGAGCCTGATCAGCAAGCTCTGCCGCTCCAAGAGTGAGCAGCACAGCAATCGGCTGCGGCGCAGCCGGAGCGAGGACCACCAGGAGCGGCTCCTTGTCTCCACCCGTGCCAGCTCCGTGCCCCGCAGCCATGAGGAGGCCAGCAAAAGCCTGCGGAAAACCACTTCGCTCATCAGCAGCAATGTGGCCTCGGGGGCTGCCCGCAGGTAACACCTCTCCTGGACACCCTGGAGTTCACGGTGGCAGTGTTTGATTTGGCGTGGATGGCAGCACAGGGAGGGATGCCAGGGAAACGGGGGGAAGGCACTAGGAAAGGAGATGTCTTTGGTGTGCAGAGTGGGTGAAATCCTCCTGGGATGAGGATGAGCAAAGACCTCTCCCTCTTGAAGGCTGGGCACATTTGCACCCCTTGTCCCAGCTCCGGGCCACCCTTTCTGCCCCCTTGCTCTTGCAGGGCTGGCTGGGACAAGCCACATGAGGAGCTGAGATGGCACTTGCAGGCTGCAAGGGATGGCGGCTCCTGTGCTGGGTGGGCTGCAGGGTGCATGGCCGTGCCAGCAGGATGTGGGTACCTGGCCGTGCTGGTGGGATGCCGAGCACCTGGCTGTGCCAGTGGGATGCAGGGCACCCAGGCGCAGAGCAGGCTGTATCGTCCTGCCGTGCCCCGGTGCGTGTCTGGGTGCGAGGCCTCAGCCGCAGGAGGCAAGAAGGACAATCCCTGGTGCACAGAGGATTAACCCATTTCCCGCTGCCCATATGGCCAGACCTCAGCAGCCCTAGAGGGGCCAGACCTCAGCAGCCCTGCCATGCTGGTGGTGGCTCCTGCTCCGTTCCCAGCCCCATCCCATGAACAGGAGAGCAGGATCTGGTCTGCCAGAACGGCTGGGGAATCCTCCCAGGAGGGGCTGCGCTGCCACAGGCACATCCCGAGCTATTTCCCTGCCTCCAGCTGGTATCTCCAGGGTGTTTGGCTGCAGCACACCCTCTTGCCAGGATAATTTTTGGTGTGACTTACCCAAAATCCAGTTCCAGCACAGTCTCCCTCCTTGCCAGTGTAGGATCGGTCCCTACAACAGGTTTTCTGGTTGTAAATGATCTCGGTGATGTTGCCTTCCCCCAGCTCCCTGTGGGGAACAACTCCCAGCTCTAATCAGCCTCCCAGCAGAGAGACTTCTTAATGCTCCTTCCAAAATTTCCTAGCTGAATTTAATTTCTCTCTCATCAGCCTTTGTCCCCTAAAACACGTTGTCTCTCTTATTCTATGTAATATATAAGCTATATCCCATGTTCCACTTTTAAAAACACATTGGATTTGAAGGACCGGACAATGGTTCTATGAATTTAGTAATTAATGCAGAGCAACAGGCCATGCTCAGGGGCTCTGCCCCTAAAACAGTGGCATCTCTGCCTGCCTCCAGAGCACCCGGATCCCCCCAGCCCTCCCTGAGGTTTTGTCTGGGCCATTTGTAGCACCCCTGGATCACTCCCCACCCCACCACCCTAAGCTGGCTCACTGCCTCTGCTCCCCAGCACAGGCAGGAGAAGCTAGCAATGCTGGCAGGACAGGCAGCTGCACTGTGGCCATCTGGGGCCACCAAACCTGCACATACCTTCCCTCCATCCCCTCTCCCTGCGGGCAGGGCATGTCTGGGCAGTCCCGTTTGAAAGACACTTTGGTATGAAAGGGCCCCTTGCGAGCATTGAGGGCTTGGGCACTCGGGGGATACCTGGGCTAACAGGGCTTTGGTGGGGCTGGGAAAGGAAACAAGAACCAAATATTTGTTGGGCTCTGATTTCACATTTGCTTTTTTTCACCTGCAGAACTGTGCGAGTTTATAAAGGCAACAGAAGCTTTGGCTTCACGCTACGCGGCCATGCCCCAGTATGGATTGAGTCTGTTCTACCAGGTAAGAAAACCTCTAGCCACAAGATTCAAAGATACTTATTTATCTCTGGTCTGAACTTGAAATTTTAAGGGCCTGCTGTTTGCTAGAAAATAGCAAAAGGGACTTTTACAAAGCTCAGTGATGGAGTCCCCCGAGTTGAATAATTAGTGTCTTTGTTACAATTTAGTTTGGCATCATGCATTCCCTCTTTTGCAAGGTGGAAAACGTCTGTGTTCTGTGAATAGCCCAAAATCACACCTGCACTTCCAGTGCAAGCTGGGCACTGGCATCGCTGCACCCAGTGAACAGCCCCAACCCACCCAGATAATCCAGCTGCAGTGAATGCCCTGCCCTGGGGGGTGTCCCTGGGCACAGAGCAGCCAGAGAGCTGGGACCCCATCCCTGTAAGCAGGGGCCCACCAGCTAAAGCCCCTCTCGTTCCCTGTGCATTTAGGGAGCCCAGCTGAGAAGGCTGCTCTCAAAGCTGGAGACCGGATCCTGTTCCTCAATGGTCTGGACATGAGGTAAGAGGCTCTTTAGAAGACCTGTGCCAGGGGGTCCCGGCGGGTTGTAGGTGGCCAAGCACATGCTTGCTCCCTCTTATGCAAAAGAAACGAGAGCTGGTCGTGCTTGAGAGCTGTCTACAGAGGTGCACGAGGTGTTTTGCCCCATACGGGCATCTCCTTTACTATTCTTTTACAAAAACTGGCTCTAGGAGTAGTATTTTGTTTCCACCCCTGCTACTCCTGTGACTTCTCTGTGCAAATAACCATGTATAATGCATGACACTATGTATAATTGGTGTCCTGACTGCAACCCACTGGCAGACCCTGATTCGAGCCACTGTGAGTTAAGCTGTACAAGTTAAACACCTGGGGTTCTGCTTTTGAAAGGAACAGAGCACCAGTCAGCCCATGAATCACTCCCAGAATGGGATCATAAGTTTAAAACCACACGGGCAATCGCTTTTCCACCCAGAAGTTAATTCTTCTATATATTATTTGTGCACAACAAAAGCAATCAAACCAGAGCTGAGCGTGCACCTTGCTGGCACAGTGGCAGCAGCCCGTGTTTCCTTGGGTTGGTCTTTCTGCACAGAAAGCAAGAACAAAGGGTTAGAAGAGGCTACACGATAAGAGAAAGTGATGAATATTTAAAGGTTAAACATCTGATGCTGCTTCTGTCAGTGCTCAGGTTCTCACATTTCAGCTGATCCAGCAAACTGTTGGCTGATGCGGCATTGCCAGAAAATAGAGGAGACAGAGTTGGAGATTGTCCTGAGCCCACGTTTTGGCAGGCATTGTCTCAGGTCAGCCCGTACCCTTCTCGAAGGACATTCCAAGATTTTTTTTTTGCCTAAAAATGCACTTTACATCCACCTTGCATTTTCTTTTCATGCAGAATTAGGACAGGCAAGGAGAGACCTACAGCACTGTATCATTTAAATGGAAAATTCATTGTCTGAGCGTAGCTTAAAGTAACGCTGGCTTCATTTGCCACAACAGCTCCGCAGGATGCTCGCAGGCATGCCCTGTGGTTATCCCGTGCTGCAGGTACAGCAGAGAGCCCGGTCACAGGGGGTGATTCACGCTTCGCTTGGGGAGGCTCTTTTCTGAGCAGCACAGATAAAGCCAAGCACAGTCCAGGGGAATTGCAGCAGAGCCCAACACTGCCTGGTTCTGAGCAGCAAGATGAGGCTTTCTGCAAGATAAACAAAGCCAGCTGCAAACTCCATTTCACCGCTGCTCTCCCACGAGCTGCTGCCCTCAGTGCTGCCTGTGCGGGCAGCCTGGCAGCTCTGACCCGGGCTCTCCTGTGCCCCGCAGGAACTGCTCCCATGACAAGGTGGTGTCGATGCTTCAGGGCAGCGGGGCGATGCCCACCTTGGTGGTGGAAGAGGGGATCGTCAACTTCTCCAACGGTAAGAGTGCGGGGAGGAGAGGGCCCGGAGCAGCAGAAGCCCCATGCCAGCTCCCAAATTCCCCGCACAGGAGGGAATTGCCTAATACCTCCTGTAGGCTCAGCAGATTTAACGTGCTGCCTGGAGGGCTGCTCCTCTCGCTGGGGCACGTGGCTGCCCACTTTCTGGGATCAGGCTTGATCTCAGGCTTGGCTGCTCTCCAGAAGGGTTCATCCTACTGTATGATCGTCCTTGACAGCCCTTACCAATGTCCTTTACGTGCAGTCTGTGCTGTGTACTTGACTGAAGTAATCCAACCCTGTGCATCCATGGTCTCTGTGCAAATCCCACAGTTGTGTACGGACTGCGCTGTTCAGAAAAACTGCTGCTATTATGAATAATTTAGCTTGCTACTGGTGAGAAAGTCAGCGGGAGATGAGGGTATCTGGGGCAACGCGGGTGGTTGTCAGCATGATTTCAATGGAGAGGCAGGACCGCAGCTCAGGGAAGAGCACGGCCACTGCTGCCTTTCCAAAGCTGTGCGAAGGCAGGAGGGTTGGTGCGTTATTGGGGTGCTGCTCTGCAACGCATAGGCCCAGGAATTAGGGACTGGCTCTTGCCTCCAGAGTGGCAGTGGACTCTCCTGAGCTTCAAGTTAGGAGCCTGGTGTTACCAACTTGTTTGCATGTGCCTTAGAAACAAAAATGAGCACCTTGATAGTTCACAGTCCAGAGCCAGTAGCACTCAAACTCCTTCACTGCCGCCCAAAAGAAACTAAGAAAAGATGGAATTTTTTGCTCCCACTGCCTTGGCCATATTCTTGTGTGGATAAGTGCATCCCACAGACGTGGTCAGGTCCCTCTCCCAGCCATGCTTATTGCCCTGCACTCACTGCAGAGGCAGCCAGGCTGTGGCACAGGGACCAGTGTAGATGAGTGTGGCAAAGCAAATGACCTTCCATGCCTCAGTTCACTCACAGGTAACCCCTGACTGATGCTTCTTTTGAAGTCAACGACTATCATAAAGTGTTCTGAAACTTGAGCAGAGGCTTTAGAGAGCCAGAGAAGGAATATCATCTGCATGCATTTGCAGGCAGTGCGGAAGCAGCATGGTTGAAGAGACAGATCCAAGATGAGCCATTTCACCTTGTCACCATGCTGCCTTCCAGTGACTGAAATCTGGTTTTACTGCAATAATAACATCTGTATCAGCACATCAGGGTTTGTATTTCTGTGGAGCATGCATTTTACATGGGTGCAGCTGCCCCAGCTGTCCCCAGGACTGACGCCTCGTTTCAGGACAAGCCTTTTAACCCATGGTTAAGACCCTTTGTCCATTGAATTTTCTTTTTTCTTTCTACCTGCACCTTGCAGACTCTGACTCTGCTGAGTCCCCGAGCACCTCCTCCGCCCTCACCTCCCTGCAGTGGGTTGCAGAGATACTCCCCTCTAGCATCAAGATTCAAGGAAGGACCTTCAACCAGCAGCTGGAGCACCTGCTGACTCCACCTGAGCGCTATACCATCTGCAAAGCACTGGAAGGCTTCTTCCAACATCGGTAACTTGTTAGCAGCTCCATTCCTCTAATGCTGGTACCTGGCCTGTTAGCAATGCCCATATCAGAGTCAGTCTCCAAGCAGAAGGCAGACCTCGGCTGCAAGGCTGCCAGCACTGAGCTCTGCTGTTCTCCAATTTCCCCAGCTGTGTATTTCCCTGTACATGTCCACAGGGCACAAGCCCATCTCTCACCAGGTGTCCTGCCTGAGGACAGGGCAGACCCATTAGCTTTTGGGGTTAATTCAGTCACCCCTTAATCCCTCATAAAATGACCTCAGTCCCTGGCAGTGCAGGCTGTCTTGCTGTCTGGCCAACCCCAATGGCCACAGATCCTGTTTCACCTCTTTCAGTAAATCTCGCTGTGTTTCATCCTTATCTTCTCACTCTTCTCAGCATCTTGGCTGCAGTACTCCATTGGTGGCAGTGTGGGAACAGCTGTGGCTGGCAGAGCCCTTGTCCTGCAGTGGAGCACATCCTCCCCGCCCTGCTGCAAGGGTCAAAACGAATCCCTCAGCAGACTCGAGGCTTTCAGTAGTGACCTTGTTTTACGCCCTTGATCTTTAATCTTTCCACACCATAGTGAATAAGCCATCCCTCTAGGTGCTGGGAGATGCTTGCTGCCTCTTCCCACAGCTGCTGAGCCAACTGAGCCAGGCTGCCCAGTTGTTCCTCGGGAGCCCAGGTCCCACACAAGCTGCACATGCACTGGCCAGGGCCAGGCAGGCTCCCGCTGCACGGTGCGGTAATCTGCTGGTGTAAAGATCAAAGGATCAGAGGACTGGAATCCTCAGTTCGACAAGGAAATGCAGTAAAGCACTCAGTATTTAGGTTACTGATGGTAAGAGAGAATAGAAAGTAGCAAGTACAATGCCGTGACACTGCCCCTGTGCACCACAGCTCAGGCTGAGGGCTGCACCACCCTGCAGCATCCCCCTGCCTACAGGGAGGCTGGGCTGCCTCTGTATCTGCAGGTGCTGGGGGAAGCACAGCTGCATAAACCCCCCCAGCACCAGCTGAGTGAACTTTCTTGAGGCCCTGTGATCACTAACGCTGCCCCAGGAAAGCAGAAATCATTGTTTTGTGCTCTCCTGAGACTGCACTGCTTCTACAGGATTCCCCAGTTGGGTATTTCAACCCGAGGAGCGGCAGCTGTGGGAGCAGATCCAGTCCTCGGGGTCTGCAATTGGGAAATGCAGACCTGATCCTAGTGGGATACTTTGCTCTTGCTCAGTGGCACAAGGGTGGGAACCCCAAGTACCATGAATCAAGTCCCCAGGTTCCCCTCACCATGCAGGGCTGTCCACATTGCTTGGTATTCCAGCAGTGTTTTACTGGGGGCTGTCGCTGCTGCCCACTGCGGGGAGCAAGGCTCACCAGGGGCACCAGCATGCCCATCCTCTCCTCCAGCCATCTCATTTTGCCTGTATCTGCCCTGGATGGCTCGATGCAGAGGCCACTGCTCCATTTAACAATAATTCATCATGACCTAATTGCGTGCCTATCCCAGACAAGCCAGCTGTGACCTCTAACTGCCCCAACAAGGAGGGAAATCCCCAAACATTAAGTTTACGTTGCTTGCCACCACAGCATGCAGATACCAGCATTTCCCAGCAGCAAACGCAGAAGATGGAGTCAGGACATGCCTGTTCTGGGCTTTGGTCCCCCAGCCAGCTTGCACACGATAAGCCAGCTGGCCCTGGCCACCAGCTGGAAGAAGCAGTGCCTGCACAGGGCAGAGCAGCCACCTGCTTCAGCAGCTCCCCCACAAAACTTTAACTTTTCTGAATGGGAAATAGGCTTCTGACAGCCAAGAGCTGTGTCCAGCTCCACAGAAAAGGCAAGTTAACCCAAAACTAGGGAGAAACTTAGCAGGTGACTTCTGGCAGGCTCTAGATGGCTCCCACCGCTTCTCATCCCTGCTGGCCTCTGAGGACCCCCAAGACACTTAATTTATGAAGTCCTTGCAGTACCTGAGCCTCTTCACCCTTCGGTTCTCCCCTATGTGCCTGGTCCCTGCCCCTTGGAAGGCAGTGATGGTCCATTCAATTAACATCAAGACGACAGATTTGTTCCTACATATGCAATCTCCTTCCAGCTCTTTATAAGAGGTTCTTACTATTACTTCTGCATTAAGGCTGCAATAGTTGCAATGAGCTTTAACCCATCATCTCTGCCTCAGTTTCTTAATAGAAAAGCAGCCTGACTTTAGCTCTCTGACCCAGGACAGCCCTCCACCCCCAGGCTGCTTTAGCCTCCCCACTGAATCAGGTGCACAGCCCTGCTATTCTCAACAGCCCTTTCACCATCTCTACACACCACAGAGCCAACCTGAGACCAAGCCTTCAGCCCAGCAAGGCTGCCAGCCCAGCTGCCCCCTCTGATGCATCTCTACCTGAGCCTGCTTACCTGCTGCTGGACAAAATTCAGGTCTTTCCAGGGCATTTCTCTGCTTCCTAGTACTCCTCCACCCCAGACACCCTGGCTGACTCACAAACCAGGTTTTATACCTGGCTGTCAGGTGCTGCTGGTCCCTGGGAGTTTGCTTTCCCCATTACCACCAGCTGCACAACTCCACTTCCCAAAGGGCTTGGTCTCTTGCTTGCAGCCTGGCACCTCTGCTTTGAAATAATCTGTTTGTGCCAAAGACTGAGGGGCAGCGCGGCAGCTGAGACGCAGGTGGAGGCAGGCTGGGAAGCGCCAGAGCCCAGGGAAGCAGCGTGGTGGGGCTGTGCCGCAGGGATGCGCTCACTGCCCAGCCCTCTCTTTCCGATTTTGCAGGAATATTGACACTCTCATTGTGGATGTGTACCCGGTGCTGGACACACCGGCCAAGCAAGTCATTTGGCAGTTTATCTACCAGCTGCTGACGTATGAAGAGCAGGAGCACTGCCAGCAAAAGATTGCCAGGTTTCTTGGTTACAAGTCCTTGGCAGGTGAGAGGAAAGCCCCTGCGCTCTGCAACGGACATGCCATGTCCCACTGGGTCCCTGGGGACCTTGGTCCGTCATGCTGAGAGCAGGCTGGGGCGATGAGGGAGCAGCCAGCTCTCCCCAGGGGTGGCAGCTGTGGCTCTGCCCTGCCTGGCTCCTGCCCACACGCTGCCTGCACAGAAGCAGTGGCTGCACGCGATGTAGAGCAGTGCAGAGGAGTTTCCAGCTCCTGTTACGGATGAGGTTGATCTGAAAATGTCAGGCAGGAGGTTATCTTTTCTGCACCATGGAGCTGTGTAGTTTTGGAAGGAAACTCTGCACTGAGAAGAGAGATGGCACCTGAGAGGTTGTCTCTGGGAGCAAAGGTTTTTGGAAGCTGCTCGGGTCGTTAGAGGTTAGGAAGTCCCAAAAGGAAATAGCTCGTTTAGGGGCAGTGTTCAGATCAGAGAGGCAAAATAAGCAATGACGGTGGTGTCCCTCGGGATGTCTCCAGCGGTCTGATGTACGCAGGTATCCATGGTTAGAGGAGGTAGGGAGCACGGCTCCTCCGGCAGTGCTGTGCCTGCCCGGGAGCGCGGCTCTCCCAAAGACACTTGGAAGGCAGTCGGCGATTCTCCTCCTCCCCGGTCCCCCGCTCCCCTTGCTATCACCTGGGGCTGTGGCAACACAAAAACCAGCTGTGGTTTGCTGAGGATTGTGGGCTTTGCAGTCAGACAGCAGAAAAGTGAGGGCAAATTTGGAGTGAAATGTTTTAATCTTTGGATTTGGACTCCTTAATTGCTTTCAAATTCTTCTATTCTAAGCTATTTACATTGTGTTGATGTGTTTATTTTAGACTCAATGTAGGTAAAAAGAGGCGTTGCTTGAAGAGAGACTTTTGGAGGAACACAGTTATTTTAGCACAGCCTTTCCCCCTTGCAGGGAGAAACAGCTCGAAGTCCTGGTGCAAATATTCTTTGCTGTGCATGGAAACCTGTTGGGTATTTGCTCACCTAATCTGTACTCTCAGTTACCACTGCTTTTGTGTGTGCAGAATCATGGCCCAACCTACCTAAAGTGTTGTATATTCCAAAGAACTTTAGAAGATGTCAAGGGGAAGCCAATATATTTGCAGTTTGCAGCTATATTTCAGGAATACAAAGCAGGTATCCCCAGCTACTGGCAGAGGAGGAAAGCACGGGAGTAAATCTCCCAGGACCAGGCTGTTTCAGACTGTTGTCTCCAGTTTGCAGGCTGGTCCCTGGCTCCTTTTCAGCTTCTCAGGTGAAAGGGGCGATCTCTGACCATGTCAAGTTCTGGTTGTTCTCATGCATTACATGTGTGTCCATGCGTGGAACCACGATGGCCAGAGATCTCTGAATTTGGGTTAGTCCTTCATCTGGGCTTCTTCCAACTCGGTGGTGATCTCTGATGTGTGTGTATATTGGGCTGTCCGAGCATTGGTCTGTCGGATACCAGGGGGATTGATGCTCTGGTATCTTCATCCTGCTGTAAGTCTGAGCCTCTCTGAGCTGTTGCACTGAACTGCACACGAACTGATCCATTAGACAATGTGGTTCTTCCAGGCAGCATTTCAGTGCTGGCCCCCACTCCCATCTTGTCCCTCGAGGGCAGGAAGGAGTTAGCCGAGCCCCTCTGGACCAGCCTAGCTCAAGGCTGGAGTTCCATGTGCACCATAAGCTGGTGGATGCCAATCCTGCCGGAAAAATCAATTGCATGTCCCATTTTTGGGCATCCATCCCCCTGCCCTGTGCTGGCAGGAGCATTTGTAACCTGTTCCACTCCCCGGGGCCAGTGTGAGGTCGAGGTGAGTGGCTACCTGGGGGACGGGCAGCTGCAGTGCCCGCAAGGCTCTGCATGGGGTCATGGTCAGGGTGCAGGGCTCAGAGAGCAGCTGCGAGTCTGATGGGCTTGGGGGACCCCCATGTCATGGCGAGGAGGAATGGGGGAGCTGTGGGGTCCGGCACATACCAGCCATGCCTTACGAAGGGTGTTTTCTGCTGCAGCTGAGCCAGAAGCAGAGGATCGCTACCGCAGCTCCATTCGAGGGGCCTCCTTGTGCCGGGGAAGCCTCCGAACCCCCCGCCCCGAGGAAGGGGGGGCAGCAGGTGAGTGACTGGGGGCTGCGCAGGGGTTCCCTCTGCAGGGAGGAGGAACCGGGGTCCCGGTGGCTGTGCCTGAGCATGAACAGTGGGAAAAGACAGAGGTCAGCATAGAGCCAGTGCAGAGGCTTTGACTGGAAGTCCATATTTTCAGAATCAGTTCAAATAAGCAATTCCAGTAAGAGGCCACTTGGGCTGAGGCTGACCATTGTTTCCAATCCCTTCCATTGCTCAGATGTGAACTGATGCTGCTGGTCTGAGCCCTCCATTCTGGGGTGCGCAGATTCTAGCTTTCCTGTGAACTTTCTTGGACACCATCAAATTCACAGGGAAAACAGCATTTGTGGAATCCATGTGAGGAATAAGATCATGGTTCAGAGCCTCTTTGAGACTCCTGATGAACTACACTCACGGCACAAACCCTCCCTCTTTTCAGAGAGAAGCCCCCTATCTCCGCATTCCTCTGAAAATGCCATCCTCCTGGTATTGCTGCAGGGCCTTCCACAGCCCCTGGATCTCTAACCCTCTCCCCCAGATGCACCCCAGGTTGCTTGTTGTGTTTTCAGTCCTTCGGGTCTTTGCCCTCCTCTCCCAGATGGCAGGACAAGGCATCCTGCTTATTCCTCCATCACCCTTAGCTGATTGCAAAGGGCACTTGACCTGTGTTTACGGCTTCCAACCACGACCTCCCTACCACAACCTCCCCACTGCAACCAGCCACGCTCTGCCGGCACTTGGGCTGCACGCCTTCCTCCTGGCAGCCCTCACCAGGAGCGTGGTGCTCCTCAGCTGTCGGAGAGGCCTGCTGCCGGAGCAGTCAACTCCGAGACATTTCCCCAAGGAAGATCCTCTAACCTGCCTCTGAGGAGCATTTCTGGTTGTGATTACAGCACAGAAAGTGGCCGACAGCTGCATACGCCGGAGGGAAGCCGCTCGGCCAGCAGATGCTCGCCAGCTGCTGGGGAGCAGCCTTGTCCTCAGCTGCCCTGCGGAAAGAGCCGAGCAGCCTGTGACCTGTTGTGCTCACCTTACCCAACCCTGAGCAGGCTCTGGGATGCATCCCGCCCTGGGTGCTCCTAGCTCACCTCCCTGCACAACCCTTTTATTTATGAAAAGCAGACACCGTTCCTCAGTCCTGGAGAGGGAGGTGATGCGGTGGGGAGGCTGCACCTCCTGTTCCCGATGAAAGCCCCACTCCAGAGCCCTTTCTCATTACAGCCAGCTATGTCCCTCCTGGACTCTCCTTTCTTTGTTGCCATTAAACGCTGGGCTCTGAGCACATGGGTCCAGTTTGGTGCTGGTGTGAACAGAGCTGCTCCGCTGGGCTCTCCCAAGTTCTGCCTGCCTGCCCCAGTATTCAGCCTGGCCCTGACTGCTGGGTGGAAATATTGTGGCTGAAGGGAACGTGAACCTGTTCAACCTGGCCTCCAGCAGCTCGGGGAAGGCAGGGATTGCAGCCTGCTTCCTCCCAGGAGCCCTTCACACACCCTTGGAGATAAATCGGGGGTCTGGACACGCCTCTGAGAGCTTATACTGCTGCAGCCGTTAACCTCTGAACAGAAGCTCTCCATAGATGTAACTGGAAAAACAGTTTCATTTGGAGCTGGTCAAATCAACGTCACTCCAAGTGAGCTCCCTTGTGCCTTCACAGGGGTCCAGACCTCCCTCCCTCCCTTCCTCCCTCCCTCCCTCCTCGTGTCCCCTGCAGAGCCCCATCCCAGGGGACACTGCTGGGGCAGCCAGCACTGCCCATGCATCTGCAACCGAAAGGACCAGATTTTGGAAACTGCGACCTCAACTGCCATGTGTGGTGATCCTGACTGTCCTGGGGGAGGCTGAAGGGAAAGAAACCAAGAAAAAAGAAAGACCCATGGCACTGCAGCACCTTGATACCTGGAGAGTTCTGGATGTAGTGCAAACTCCCGCATGTGCCCTGGATAATGTCTCTTCCCCTGAAATGCTGTGATGGAAACCCCTGACTTGGCACTGTCCACTGTGTGCAGCACTAGTGAGGAACGCACTAACCACACTGCAGCCGCAGCACTGCTCGGGTGCTGAAGATTTATAGGCAGCTTCCAAATCTACCAGTTGGGTAGACTGAGAGATAAAGAATATCCTCATTTTATAGAGAAAGAAACTGAAAATGGAGAGGTAAAGGGCAAGGCACAGGAGGATTTTGTCTCAGTTGTGCTTGTTTTCTAGCACACATCATGCTTCACTGCCGGGTGACTTCTGCTGCCGCCCAGGGAACCTTCAAGTAAGACGCTCCCTGTTTCACAGGCAGCCCACGCATCGGGCTGCCAGCTGCCCTGCATGGGTCCCTTGGGACCCCCAGACCTGGGAGCTCCCAGTGCTTCGCTGCACGCCTGGGCAGGAGGATGGCTCTGGGTCCCAGCAGGAGATGGGGGACACCTTAATGGGTCAGGACCATCAAGAGCCCTGGGGGGCAGAGGCAGAAGGAGCGGCTCCTGACTGGTTTGTCTCTTCCTTCCCCAGCAGGCCAGAGCGACACCGTGGAGGTCCCGGTTCGCCTGATCCCTGGAGAGAGACAGGCTGGTGACGGCACATCCCTCCCGGAGACGCCCAACCCCAAAATGGTGTGACCTCGTGGGGCTGGGGGGGATGCCTCTGGGAAGTGCTTTGCCGACATGTGCGGGACCGTTGTGTTCACAGGGAGGGTCAACAGTTTGACTCCTTTCATGTTAACGCAGGAAAGCAGAAAAAAGGGAACGGGGGAAGGATGTGTCTGCATGTAAATACCTGCTGGTGGCTGACAACATCCCTGCCTCAGAGCTTGTCTCTGAGATCGCTTCCCTGGGCAATTAGTCAGCTTTAATAAGGCTGGTGTCTGTCAGCATCTTCCTGCAGCCATGTGAGTGAGAGGCTCTTGGGGAGCTTCAGAAAAGGCAGAGTACCCTTGGGTTGGGGTGAAGCACTCCTTTAAAGAGTAAGAGACTGGGGACTGGAGGGTCAGTGGTGGCTGTCCTGTCCCCAGGACATCACAGATCTCTGAGGGCTCCACAAGCCCCATCTCGATGCAGGCATTGACAGCGGCTCTTTGCCCTTTTTTTCAGATGTCGGCTGTCTATGCAGAACTAGAAAACCGCCTGATCGGCAGCTTTGCTGGCAAGATGGGCAACGCTGCCCTGCACAGAGCATCGCCTCCTGCCCCAGAGCTGGCACACGCTGCAGGTAGCGTCTGGCTTCCCATGGTGTGAGAGAGGCAGTTCTGGGGTGGTCTCAGGCAATGGTGGATGGTGCTGGCCAGGCAGGCGGAGAAGAAGACATCTTTTTCTTGGTGCCATTTTATAACAAAGCAGTGACAGTGCCATGTGTGAGCCCAGCGATGGCTTCTGCAAAGCTGCATCTGCAGGAGGGCAATGGAGTACATGGGATGACATGGCCCGGGGGATCTCTCCTCCCCCAGGCTGCACCATTATCTTGGGTCACATTCAGCATGGTGCTGGGGCTCGTCGCAGCCCGTGGGTGGGGGGGTCCAGGGAATGCCTGCTGCAGGGCCCTCCTCAACAGCGCTCTGTCCTGCAGGTGCTCGCAAGCCGGGGATGACGATCTCATGGCCCAGCGACCCCCTGGCCTCCCAGCAGTGTTACTACCGCTTGCACAGCAGTGTGGCTTCCCCGACAAGCACCGAGTCCAACCCCTATGTCAGCCTCGACAGCAGCCCAGCCCCATCCCCCAAGCACCGGCACTACTCGCTCAGCCCTCTGTCGCGACGGAAGAAGCTCTTCACCTTCTCCAGGCCCCCACGCAGCCGTGACACTGACCGATTCCTGGATGCCCTCAGTGAGCAGCTGGGACACCGGGTCACCATCGTAGATGATTTCCTCACCCCTGAGAATGACTATGAGGAGGTGAGCATGGCGCAGGGGTGGCTCGGTGCACAGTCTTTGTCTGTCCTGGTTGTGGAGCATCCATCGTGCAGCCTGCACTGCACTGGGATGGGTGCAGAACCTCTGGGGACACATCCTGGGGCTCTGTGGGTGGTGGAGGGGGGCGAGGGCTGCACGGCTGGGGAGTAGGACACCCCTGAGGGCTGGGTAGGTGGAGGATGAGGTGCCACCTTCAGCCTCTCTTCTCACCCAGATGAGTTTCCACGATGACCAGGGCAGCTACGTCACCAATGACGCCAGCAGCAGCGAGTACATCAGCAGCAGTGACGAGGGCAGCTCCCTGACCTACTCCACGCTCTCAGACCACATCCCCCCTCCACCGCTCAGC